AATATATATATATATATATATATATATATATATAAATTGAAAAAATAAAATCACTAATTCTTTTATATATAATTTTCTAATCAAATTAAATATAAAATATGCTCTTAAATAATATAAATAAAATAGTAAAATAAATAATATAAATAATAAATAATAATAAATAAATAATAAATAAAATAAACATTTAAAAACTTTTATCTGGTGCAATATAACAGTGACGTGATAATTTATCTATTGGCTAACATTGTGAATTTTTATGTCTTTTCAAAATTCTAATACGTCTAATAATTGATAATAATGATAATGATAAATTGATATTGATAATATTTTTCTAATATTATAATTATTCATATCATATATATATAATTTATATAATTTTAAAATTGCAAATTATTAATTCTTTCTATAAATTATATTATATCTTTTTTTTAAATTAAAATTTGATGTTGATAATAAGGTATGATTACAAATATTTACATTTTTTTTCGCGAAATTTAAGTATGAATTGTTTTCGAGTTGATTAGATGATCATTTGTATATAAACTATAATACAATTATGCAGTTGCGCATGGAATATTTTTATAAAGATGCGGAGTGTGCAATGTACATATTAGAATGAAATTTGCATAAATTAATCGATGCAAAATCGTGCTAAAAGAAATTAGAACAACTTTTAATGAATAAATTCATGAATGTAGTTTGCATCTTGTTAAAGGTACAAATTTTATAATTTTTTTCTTTGTTATGTTTATAAATCCAATATTTAAATAAAACGAATCATTTTAAAAATGATGGAATCATCTGATGTCATGAGATAAAAATACATTAAGTAAATACATTTTTATGATATTAACTTGTTGTATACTTGTGGTATAACTTGTGATATAACTGCACAAACATATAAAATTATTAACATGTTCATCAATGTGACAGAAAATAATTATGGAAATATAAGTATAGATATTAAAGCAAAAATCATTTGATTCTCTTGTAAAATATTTAATATTTATATTTAATATTTATTATGTATGTATTTAGTGCATTTTTTTTATCTTTAATATTAGAAAACTTCTTGATGTTCATAAATATCTGCTACTTAGACAACTTAGAATTCAAAAACGTTTTTAATTGGCTCATCAGCATCTTCAATATTTATCAACATTTATCTACATTCATTATCTTTAATATTTGCTATACATTAATACTTTCAACAATGAATGTCATTTTTTTATAGTTTTCAACGTTATCAACATTTTCAATTGTGCAAAAATTGAAAATCTAGTGAATTTTCATATTCCAATGGTATTTATCAACATTTTCCGAATTCTTGATATTTCCAGAATTTTCAATATCGTTGATATTTCACCGTAATCGTCGTTATTTCTATAAATAACCTTTCAGATATTATAGTATGACAGATCTATAACATACAATCTAAATTCCGATTACTGATATCAAATATCAATTGAAAAACATCTTACGTTTAAAAAGTGAACTTGCCGACGTTAAATTATTTCGTATATCAGACGAATGATTATCTGACAAAGTGGCAGTGACATTATGATTTATGGATCCATCTTACTACTACTTCTTCTTTTGATAACATTGATGTTGATGAGAGAAAAGAAAAGAGAAAAAATAAAATACACATGAAGAAAAACATTTTCACTATTAAATTGAGAATTATTTATTATATTATTTATTTACTTATTTTTTTACACTATTATTTATTTATAATATATATTTTTTTCAATCATTATTTACTTTCAACTAATCGTTCACACGAAACAGAAAGTAAAATGAAATTCAAGATCTATTTTTTTTAATTTCTCGCAAAAAAATTAATTATATTTATAAATTTTAAAGAGAAATCTATGAATTAATTTAGAGGCTTAATTACTTCCTTCTTGATATTTATATGCTACATCAATTTTCACTCGAATTAACTTTCATCGTTCAGCTTCGATTGCAATAGACAGTGTATGAACTCGTTTATTCGGCCAATGAATAGGAAGTTCGAGTTTTAACCGGAAGTACGCTGCATGCTCCACGCCATTGTTAGAAAAACATTTCAATGAATTGCAATAACATTCAAATAAAAATCGACAGTTTCTTGCATTTTTTGAAATATAAATCTTTAAAATAGATATTCCTAAATTCCATCTATAACTAATTAATTAATACTCGAAATAAATAATTTTCTTTTACAAAGAAAAAATTTCTAAATTATTAATGAACATAGAATTATTAAACAAACAATTGTTAAATAATTAAGATCTTATTTATTGAACATTTATATTCAATCAAAATTTTAATGAAATCTAATTAACACAAGATTATAAAAAATAATATATCAACTAGTAAAAAAAAAAAAAAAAAAGAAGAAAAAAAAGAAGCTAAATGAAAGCGTTTGACGAACTTAGAACATGGCTGATCATTGCCAGGAAGTACAAAATTGCCCCGGAAATACGGTGTATGCAACGATGGGTCGAGAAGACTATAACAGAAGAGACCAGGTGAAATCTGAACCGTATTATTATCGAGACTCGTCTCAACTCATGTCAGCTCGAAGAGAGACACCGACGCTCTATTGACACTGATAGCTCGTGCAAACATTCATCCGGCGTACTACACGCGTGTACACGCCAAAGGGAAAAGAAATAAAGGATGTGGCAAGCTTTAGTAAGTTCAAACGATATGACGACATGTCTATATTTGGGCATCAACTAGTACCGATGAGAACGAGTCGCTTCAACAATTCTCTGCTATTCAGTAACGCTTATTGCTAATTAAATATTTTTTTGAATATGAATTTGACATTAAATATTATTAAAATCGATAATTAGATTATCTAATAAAATATTCTTATATTCAGTTTTTTAACTTATTCATAGAATAAATAAAATATGTAAATTCCATGTGAGGTTAGTTATTGAAGAAAGAAAAAAAAATCCCTAGAAAGAAATTAAAATAGTATATATATGACAATAATGCATGTGATATAAGAATGATCAAAGTTCATAATTATTTTAATATTCTGTCTAGAGATTTGGCTATATTAGATATTAGAAATAAAAAAATAATACTATTATATTTTTTATTCTCTAAAGAGATATGATTATATTAAAATTATCAAAGAAATTATATATTGCTTAAAGCTTATACTGTAAGTTTGAAAAAAAATTTGATGAATTTCTATTTTATTAATAACAAGATTATAAAATGTTAATTGAATAAAAAATTCAGCGAAGAAATATGATCTTTTTTAACGATATATCATATAATGTGCCCTTCGTTCACTGGTTTGGTATAACAGTTTCTTATCGGAAATTTTTTTTTTATTATAAGAAATATATAAAACAATACTGTTATCATATGAATAAATTTAAAATATTAAATTATATATTGTTTGAAAATTATATAATAACAATAAAAAATATCAATAATATTGTAAAAAAAACAAGTCGAATGTATACATAATCTTTGAATAAATTAAATAATATTACTTATCAAGAAAATAACAATAATAACACTTGGAACTTGAAGCTGTTTTTGCTTTTGAAATGAAAGATAATGACGTTATTTGACGTAATTCTGTTTTAATTTAGAAATGAAATCAGTTCTTGGAATAACATTTATGATCCCAATCTTGTATAATATTACTAGCATTGAATCACATAATTACTGATAAGCTAAAAGTGAGAATAAAAATGCAGTGTGATTGCTTTGCTTTGCATAACAGTTTTGAAACGGTATAACTGATTATTTTTATCATTTAAATCACTAATTAGTCACACTACTAAAGTTATCGAAGAATTATTCATATTACTTTTACATAAAATAGTTACTATATAATTTTTTTGTTTTACTAGAAAATA